CATTTTGTCCGAAGCTTCTTAGTTCAAAGAGGGGAGCCTAAAAAGGACGAGCAGGACCTGTGGTAGTGAGAGCTGCACAATAATATATTGTTCCCATGCATTATTTAATGGCACTGTGGGGAAGATAGTGTTTGTGTGCTTTTGAAATTCTCTATGAGAGCTTGTAGCTCTCTTAATTGGCTTTCTCAGGAGAGCCAAAGGAAATGCTGTTCTGGCAGAAGATATTGATCAATATGACCAGATCCAGCTACTGAAAGCATGATCTGTATCAATGTCACCTTCAGGTAAACGATAGAAGACGACCATAAGCTGCAGTTTAAGACATCACTGCAAGTTTACTCTAATGCCATGCTCATTCGATGTTTCTTGTTTACATAATGGTATCAGATCACTTTATTTAAATTACTGCATAAAGGCTCTGACATATAGTGTCAGGGGCAACAGTTTGAGGCTGCCAGTGTGGCGGGGGGGGGACTGCACAACAGGCGCTCTTCAAGGGGACAGATGCCACCAACGATTTTCTTACCAGAGTCATCACAAAGGAAAGGGGCGACTGGCTGGTACCAAGCACAAGATCTAGTGGAATAAATACATGCAGCAATGTGATGCTCCAATGCAGTTTAAACGCTCTACAGCAGGTGACATGTTTATACCCGGCCTCGCCAGGACTTTAGCTGCACAACACAGATTTAATGTCTGGATTATGACGCCTGCTTTTGCCATCAGCTGGGTGTCCAATATCATACCTCATCCTGCACCGTGCTCCTGAAAGAATTAGCTTTCTAACCTTGCGTAGATCTGTATGAGAACAGCAAGTCTCTGAAAAGGGACTCTTCAACACATCGCGCTCTGAGCTCCCATTGTCCATTCTGCTCACACCGTGTTGCTCCATTTTACATGAGCCTCTCATCATGAGCGGCAGCGAGCAGGTCAGCCTGTAAGCACCAGCACTCCTCGTGCCCACCTGTTTTATCATTCACTGTGGGGAACAAACAACAGCAACTTAGCCGTAGCTAACAGGCACACTGCCGGCACATGTTCATGCTCTGTGATAATAAATGACACCTTCCCTTACTCGGTTGTGAGGCTCAGATGGATGGGTGGGTGGGGGGTAGGGGCAGAAAGCCTCCGAGATAAAAGGAGCCATGAAGCAATCAGTACTTCCAAAGGTTACGGAGTCAGAATACGAATGGGTTTCTGCACTTTAATGTTTGAGTTTTGGAAGGTTTTAGAGAGTCTGCTGCTGCTTTGCTTCCATCTCAGATCAGAACAGTTTATTGTATCTCAATCTACTGAGCCCTTCAAAACGAGGGTGTGCCAGCACGTCTCGTCGACTGTAACACATTTGTTGTGACATAAATGGTCACTTAACAGCAAATAATGCAGTTCATTCATCCATTTAAACACTGTTTGTCCTGAGTTGAAAATGGATGTAATTAAGGGTGGCAGCCTATCCCAGGATGCAACAGGATAGAGGCGGGGTAGACTTAGGACTGGTCACGAGTCTGACACAGCCCTTAAAGTCACATTCACCTTGACATTTGCAAAATATAGTCTACAATTCATTTAATGTGCAGGTTCTCATTTGTTCACATGCACACAAACAGTCTGAGCTAATTAATGCATTCAAACCCTTCATGCTTTGAGGCGATACCATACCCTACTTTCTGCACAAATGACTGTTGTGTCCTCAAACATTGTGAGAAAAAAAAACACCTCCTTCCTTGCTGATGAGTAAGAAGAATAGGAGAATCTGTGCAGACTGTATCAAAGGCATCTCATAAGTGATCAATAGCTCTGTTTATGACTTGTAAAATATCACTGCAGTAACCTTTTAGTGTAGTATTTTAGTGCTCGTACCTTTAGCTCCCATTGAAATTCATAATGCAGCAAAGTTAGAAAGTGTTTTATGCCTCCTGAGGCCTGTGTGTTATTTACCTCCAGTGTTCAGTGCTCAGAGAGCACCTTTGCCTTTTCCCTGTCACTTTATTACTAGCTAACCTTAAAGAATAGATTCCGAGGGAAGTGCAAGTTAAATTGCTTTAGTGCATTGGTGACTACTCCTTTGATCTTTTGGGCAACTTATAATTACACAATTCCTCTTTATTTTTTTCCACGCATCTTGAACGCAACATAACTTGACTTGCCTCAGGAGGAACATCGCTCATTCTGTGGACTGATAACAACTTAATTAGAACATATTTCTTCCTTTCTTTACTCGTTCTATTCTGCATGTTAAGTCCAGGATTCAAGGAATTAAAAAGTTTCTGCACAGACCGAGCTTCTTTTAAAGTCTGTCGCTGTTTGCATCATGATGACCTCAATGCTATGGGATAACTTTCAAAAACAAAACAGCATTCTTTGCAATGTGATGCTGCAGCTCTGAACATAATTGTGCGCTGATCGTGCATACTCTTTTGAGCCATTGAATCAAAGCTCTCTGTAGCTTGAAATAAGAGTAATCTTTGGAGCAAACGTGTAAATTCTGCAAATGTCAGTGTGCAAGCATGAGTCACAGTAAATAGCTATTTTAATATGCCTTGAACAGAGAACAAAAACAGGTTCATACATTGTGTTATGAAGCTTTTTATGCTCCCAAATACAGATCAATAGGTGGTGCATGCTGTTATTCTCTTATTCCTGCAGTGGCTGGTAACCCTCCTCTGGTCCCAATTTCATAATGCTAACACATGACACCGGCACCGCGAGCAGCTGCTGTAACACAATGCAACAGAAAGGCAAAGAAGAGAGAGCCCATTAATCTCACCCCACGGTCTGTAAATGGCAGCCTAGAAAGCAGACACCTCTGCACATGTGCCATTGTCACTTTATTTTCATGCATAACCTGCTGAGATATGAATTTGCTGTGCAGTCGGCTTCCTGCCTGCAGTAGCATTGCTGAACACGGAAGTGTTGGCAATAATGCATGATAATGATAATGACCATCCTGTCTGATTTAATTAGGCTAACACATGACAGTGAGTGCTCTGAGCTTCTGCTGTAACATCCCGCAACACGCTGACAAGCCAAAGACCCGTTCATTAACACTTGCAACACACAGCTTGTAAAAAGGCATCTAAATACGTTAAAACTACAGCTAATTCTAATTTCAAATCCAATTAATCTCAAGGGTGTCAACTCCTAAGATAAAACCTCATCAGCCTCTTTGTTCAAGTTGAAATATGTAATGTACGTGGCTTTAACCAAATATAATTGAATTGTCTCTATTTACCAGTTCAGTCAAGATACAGGGTTCATCCTACACACAAACAGTGAGCTGAGCCCCTGAGCTAGCTGCATGGGCTTTTATTATTAGAGAATAAAAGCCTCATATATGACGTATACACTATGTTTTTATCGCTTGTGGACATAGTAGGCATCTGTCAGAGTGTGGACCAGTGCCAAGACCCTGTGACAACTTCCATTTTTCATTTCACTCTGTGATTTCAGCGGACAGCTGCAAAGGAAGTGGTACTATCTCTCCCAGCGATGCAGGAACACATACACACACGGTCCTGCAGGCTCAGTCAGAGTAAAGAAGGGTGTATACTGTAGATGTAGCTGGTACTCTGTGTTTTCAACAGCACTGCAAGCTGCAGCAGCACTCACTGCATGCCCCGATGTACCAACACAGCCTGCCAGTGCCTACACCTTCCCCAGGGGATGTGTCTGAAGGTATTATGCGGATAAAGCCGAGCTATATGAGGGATGTTCACTCCACTGTAATTTAAGCATATTGACACCTAACCCCTCCTTAGTCTAATACAGTAAGCTGTACAACATCCACACAGGCATCCTGGACCCTCACTTCTACCCATCTGTTGTTGCCGACGTCCTCTGAGTGATGAATGCATATTTCCAAAGACCAGACGCTGACCTCGGCGCGCCAAAATTAGAGTGCAACAAACTTCCAACAAATGCTGAGTTGAATCAGAAGAGGCCAAGCTTACTGAGTTAACAGGAAACTGATGAGAGTAGCTAAAAACAAAATTCCAGCTACAAACATAATTGCCAGCGTTCACTCACAGCGCCCATGAGATCATTATCATGCTGCATCAGTGCTTCTCTATCCCTTTTATCATCTCTAAACCTGCCTAGTTGAATGTCTAAAAAAAAAAGAAAGATGATGTGCAGCCCTCTTATTCACACACACACACACACACACACACACACACACACACACACACACACACACTCAGAGTGCAGATACAACGCTGAGGCCTCGGCTCACCGTAAAACAAAATAATCACCTCAATATATGCTTTTTAACTCCACTCACAGGGACACTAACAAGTTTCCTTCATAATTCAAGCTCTGTGGCTCCACAGTAAAAATGTCCACTCTCTCTCCCTCTCTGACTGTGCAATCAGATCAATCTGGCCTGATGGGAGGATTTCAGTGCTGCTGCTAATTTATGAAGAGTCTCTGTGTCTGCGTCGTGCTGATGCAGACACGCCCGGGCCATTTCCACATGCACTCCGGTCCCAGGGAATTCAAGCCATGTGTCATATGTGAAGCATCTTCATTGCACAGTTAAGAGCCAGTGATCGGCTGCAGTCATCAGGGCTGTTTCTGGGCACATCAGACTGCATCTAACAGCACTAACACTATCAATAACTGCTCCACCACGTGAGGAGGGGAATATATCTCAAGTAACCTGAACACATCTCAGCTAGACAGATATCATATTATCCAGCAGACTACAGGGAATGGCTGCCTTTAAAGTGGAGCAAAGAGAGACAGAAAAGGACATATTATGTTTGTGCTGAGAAATGGATAGATGGATGGATAGATGGATAGATGGATAGATAGATAGATAGATAGATAGATAGATAGATGGATAGATAGATAGACTTGCAGGCCTATCATTCCAAATTATTTTTTTTGCACAATCAATGCGGCACATCAGAGATCTGGACACAGTACAGACATCATCCACACATGCGTCAGGAGGGCAAAGTCCACTGTGCATTTCTCACCAAGTCTTCTAAGTGACTTACCAAAAGTGGGACTAATAAAGCAGATGCCGAGAGCCTGATCCCATTGCACACCATTTCAGCCGTCCACGCGCTCGTCTCGCTGGTTAAAATTCACACCGGATCTCAGACGGAGTTCATTTATTCCAAATTGGTATTGAATCAGGAGCAGTACCATCGGGGTTGGTGAGGGCTCGTGCCGGGGTAGTGGGGGGGGGGAGGAGGAGGAGGAGGAGGAGGGGGGGGAAGGAAAGAATCCAACGGACGTGATGAGCGACAATCTGCCGCTGAGTTGAAGTGTCATCAACAAGAGACAGTGGGATATCTTCCAGTTACCTGCATCAGGATGCAATAAAACCCCACCTTAAATCCCAGTGCGATCCGATTGAGGTGTGAAGGCAGAAAAAATGTGAAGCCGAAAATCCAACCCCTTCTCTCTCTCTCTCTTGTCTCTCAACAAAAAAAAAAAAAAAAATCCAAAAAGCTCAGGAGAGTCCGGAGGCTTGCTTGAAGCGTCCGAGCTGTGTTCAAAAGGGGGTTCAAGCGTCAGTACGCGACGCATCAACTCACTCCCCCCCCCCCCCAAACACACACACACACACACACACGCACACACACGCACACACTCTCCGCGTTGAGGGTTTGTAACACAAGAAAACAGCCGATTTAATTCCTCATAACGCTTGTTGTGAATCCCAGTGCTGGTGATGATGGTGCCAGGGACGGAAAGACAACTGCAGTCCGGCGCGGTGGGTCTGCAACGTTTTGAAGGTTGTGGCGTCAAAATTCCGGCTGCAAGTCCGTTTAAAAAAAAAATCCAAAAAAAAAAAATCACGAAGGTCGATGAAACTCTGTCACCAGTTTTCTGAGCACTACGGCACAGTTACACGCCTGTTTTACAGGCAGTTGTTCGCCATCACTATAGCTATAACTTCCCCTCTGTGTAAAGCACAATGAAGGAATCCCACCCGTGCACTGACTCCGTGTTTTTGCCTCTCTTTCTTCTCCCTAATTGTGTGCGTACCCATGCGAGCAATTAGTTCCCATACATGACTCGCTCCGTCCGCTCTCTCCACGAAGCAATGCGGTGGATTTCTTCGGTCAGGAAATCTTCCTCACTGTGTACGTCCAGCTCCTTTCTGCTCCTCATGCATGCAGGCGTCCACCTGCGTAACAAGGGCCCGATATAAATGAATACATGCTGTCACGCCATGATGTCTGGAGCCGGAGCCAAAGTGACCAGTGCATGGACACATTTCCCTAGGTATAATCAAAGGAAACGATTGACACCTTTCATGGACTGTTCAGCACTGCAGCAATGTGATGTCATTTGAAGCTGGGAGGAGAAAAAAAAAAAAAGGCGAGAAAAAGCAGAGTTTCTATGTTTGTGTGGTGAGGATGAGAATGAGCAGAAAGTGTTTGAGCGTAATACAGAGAGGAGGCGCTGTGAGGTGTTTGTGATACTCCGGGATGGGCTTGGTGGGGCTCATGGTCCTGCACAAAGATGCTGCAAAGGAGGGAGGGAGGGAGGAAGTGAGTGAGTGAGAAAGGGACGGGGATGTTGGGTCATTGCTGCACTTAAAAATAAAATCCCATTCGTTCTTCAGGCTGCAATAAATACTCCTCTGTTTTCTTGTCCTTCTCTGTCTCCATCATAATATGCAGAGGCACAAACAATAACTTGACCACCTACATGCCTCACAATGCACCTCATGCTTTACTTTCCCTGCAGGACATTAAACACTCCTCTTGGCTTAAATCAATGGAAACTGGATATCCAGCATCTTGAAAAATAAACATGAATATCTTCCCACCAGGAAGGGAAAAAAACACAATGGGTAATCCTCTCAGAGTTTGCAGAAGAAAGCCAGGGACAGCCCCATCCCTCATTATAATGTGCCTCTTAGAAGAGGATAACATGTTTTCAGTGGGCTTTTTGTGCATATTCATCCCCATGTGAATTGTCTGTGAGTTTGAATAGAGGCCACAGAACATGGTGTGAGAAAAGGAATTCTGGGTGACTTGACAAATCCTGTCAAAGCTGCTTGACTTCACCCGAGGAGCCTCACTAACATTGAACTATACTGTATATGAGATAATGTTTAAGAGAGATTTACAGATAGATGGAACAGGGTGAATTCCCTTTTATAGTACCGTTGGTTTAAATATATTATGCGTGCTGTGAGCTGAATTAATTAGGCAGCAATAAGGGCCTTATCATGTATGAAAATTTAAGGTATGATTAAACATCACACTGAACAGGACCGGAATGTAGGACTATAAAAATGTTGGATTATCGGAGAATAAAAGCACCATAAATAACAAAGTTACTGCTCATCATTAGGGACCACTCGATAGAAAAAAAAAATGATGTAAATGGTACAACTCTATAGGTGCACTTTTTCCATAGATATTGTGTTTGCCATAATTACACCATGTAAATTTTCACATCATCTCCGTTTCACTGCTGCATGACAGGTGTCACAATTATCTGCTGTGCCACTCTTTATACAAGAGCAGCAGCCTGTTGTAATTAAAGGGCAGTTCATAATGGGTGGAACACCTTCAGGGCATTTTTCTATGGATCCCTGAGATGTGACGCAAACTTCTTTTAAAGAGAATCATGCAGTTTCTCTGTCAAAGGGCAACATTTCCATTAAAGCCTCCCTACTTAACCCAACAGATTTTTGCCACATAGTTATCATTAAATCTAGTTTGGTGCCTTTCGAACAAGTGTTGATCCTCTAACATTTTATTAGCCTGCAGAACGTTCTGCAAGAGTTTAAGCTTCATTCTGTGGTTTCACTCTGAGCTCGACCTGAATGAGCATGTGTGTTCATGAGGGGGGTGAGGGCAGGGTATGCATGCAGAGAATACTGATGGTTTTGAAAAAAAAAAAGGAGGCATGAAGGAAGCCAATCTGCTATTTATATCAGGCTGCACTCCACGGGGGCGAGGCTCCCTCTCGCAGTAATGCACTGTAAAAGTGATTGATTAGTGTGATATTGAGAGATTGTCCGACTTAACTGTCTTCACTCGGCCAAAGTGATGAAATTACAGAACACTGGTCTTTGAAAGCATAATAGCAGATTAGGTCAGCGTGGTCCATCCGCTCTAATAAGGAAACTTGCCATTCCTCTAAAGTGCAAAACATAAGAGGGCGGTCTGCACTCAGATCCAGTACACACAACCAAAACCCTCATACACTCAGAGAGTGTGTGTGTGTTTAATGACCTGGAACAGATTGCATGCTGAGGTTGCTTAATTTAGCTCTTTGTATTTGTCCACACCTTCATAAATGCTACTTTTAAATATAATACAGCTGCCCTTGTCGCTCTTTTTAACCAATTGCTTGGGTCAATTTCCGTCACAGACGGAGAAAAACTCCAATTCCTTTTCCATGGCTGGGCCCAAAGGAGCTATAACGCATTCTTTATCAGGTCAATGCGTCACTGAACAGTTTCACATGTCTGTGTGTGTGTGTGTGTGTGTGTGTGTGTGTGTGTGTGTGGTGTGTGTGTGTGTGTGTGTGTGTGTGTGTGGTGGGGTGCACTTTGAATTGGGATTTGCAGAGCCTAAAAAGCTGTCTTAAGGAACGGTAGTATCATTACAATGTATACAGCCCTCCATAGCGGATGAGAGCAGTCTTGTTTATACCTGTGAATCACCCTGAACATTAGCTCTATCTATCTCTCTCGCTCTCTCTCTCTCTCTCTCTCTCTCTCTCTCTCTCTCATGGAAAAAAAGTTCCTCTTAATGTAACTGTAAACTCTCCATGTTGCCATGATATATGAAAGCAACCCACATGATTTCCCCTGTATGGGTCTCTAATTGGCTCATCAACCGTGTTTTCTGAAACACGGCTGATGTTCCACGCTGAATAACAGGCGTGCGAAGGACACTGTGTGTTTCAGCAAAGGTCAGCCTGTATGGTGATCATACGCACATACATATACATGTGCAGCTTTGATTTATTCAGGCCGGTTTGTATCCGTACAATCAGTGGATAATGATGCGGAGCTTAAAAAGGAGTCTTTTTCCTGTGAGCATGAATGATAGGTCATGCTCATGCTACCTGCCGTGTAGCACAAATGACTCAGATGTTACGCATTACTCCACTCCTACTAGTTACTTATAGTGGGTGCAGCCATGCTTTCATGTTTCATATGTAGTTTATGCACAGCCTTGGCTTGTTCTATCACTTAATAAAATAAGCGCTACTTAGCAGCTTAAAGGGCTCTTCGACGTGTCCTTGTTGGGAAATCTTAAAGATAGACGTGGGCAGTCTGGGAAAGTGTGAGGAACATCTCACTCACAAGTTTGTTTGTCTTGATGCCTGGAGTTATAAAAAGAGTACTGCTGCTCTTAAGATAAAAACAAAAAAGCAAAGACAGAAACGACCAACATGTTTAAGCTGCAAACGCTTTGAATGTTATCAGAAAACGATGGCATGTACAGTTAATATTCAGGGGCTCCTAAAACAGCCGTTTAGATGCCATTACTACTTGAAAACTTTAAAGATGATATCACAGTAATCAAGGATCTGACACTGTGCTGTATTAAAACAGCGAGAGGAAATGTTTAAATATCAGGTCCAACATTTATTCGTCTTGGGTGAAGACTTTTGGAAAGGAAAAAAGCGAAAAGGTCCCCTCTCTTTCCTTTCTAATGAAATTTAAATCACCTCCTCCTGCACCAAGTGACACCCTCTCAATGGCAATAAAAGAGAAAGCAGCCATGGAACGTCTGACCCCTTTTAAGTGTCTTACTGCATATTTTTTTGACATCCTCTCTTTTAATGGCGCTCCAGCACTCAGAAAATTCAGCACTGCAAGGAGCACTCACTTGGTTTCCCTTTCCATGGTGGCATGAAATCATCCATCACAGCTGTTGTTTTACAGTTAATGCATATTAGCATGCAAGTGCTTTTTTTCCCCCCTCTATATGGAGTGTGAAGCATCTTGGATATTTGCTGAGAACTTGTCTTTTGGCTGCATATAAAAATGAATCACTGATGGAGGCTTAGAATGAGGGGTTTTGACATCAAAGCTGTGTCTGTTGTTCTTCAAGAGCAGCAACTAGTTTGATCTCTGGAGGAGCTGAAGGTCATGACAGATGGGCTTTGAACATTAAGATACATGTCACAGCTTAATGTATTCTGACAGCAAGTAAACATTATGAGAGTAAACTTCTTGCAGACTATG